TATCGACTTTTAAGTAATGAGTCTTCTACAGCAGCTTGGTGCTGTTATAGGCGACCTTTCGTAATCGTTTTGTTCCCTCTTCTTCGAGATATTCAGGAAGCACGTGGTTTTACTAACCGGACATCACATTCTTCCACCCAGTTTTTTATGTAATAGGTATGTATGTTTTTTATGTAATGATTATCAGCCCTATACCCAACCCCCAATCTGGAGGACCAGCAGCTATGGTTTTAAGACACAGAGGTCGCTAACCTCCCTATGAATCTCAGGGTGGGAACGTTACGGTCTTCATACGGGAATCGAACCTGCGCAGTAGTGGTCTGAGTTGTCGAATAGAGGACCTGCACTTACTTATTTTAATTTATTATTATTAATTATTTTATATATATTTGTGCGTTATTAATTCCCGCAAACAGGATTTTGAACACTTGATTTAAAATTTTTGCAGAAGCTGTAAGTCGCTTGACCACCGCGGCCCCTATGCGAACTAGTAAATCTGAGAACTCCTCAATCGTGATGCGCAGCGGGGCATAGATATACGTTCATTACTCTTGCCCTGACACTCCCGCTTGTAGGAACTTGCGCCGTCTTCTTTATAACATGCCGACCAAATTGCAGGTTGTGCTGTGGCATCAGATTCCCAGGAATCGTTGTCTAGATTTTCATATTTCTCATTCACAAAGTGATTGAGATTAAGCTGCAGGATTCTCATGCGACGTGAGTTCTGGTTCACCTTTGTCGGTTTTTCAGTGCATATTGCAATGCTGGGACGATCGACGTGTGTGCGTGACGATCGGTAGGATTTAATATAATATTAATATTTAATATAACATTTGAGAAATTACAGTGTAACCTGACCGAAAGACACAGGCGTGGACAGAAACTAGTACCCCAAAATGTTGATCCGTCTTTTAAGGATGATCATATTGGGCTCAAACAAATGTGGTTAAAATTGGAGCTGATCTATCCGGACAGTACCGGCCTTAGGGTGGGGAAAGAGGTTCAAATGTCCGGGGCGCCGACCTAGTTGGGCGGCCGTTGGGGGTGTCCGTCGATCTTCAGGGGCGCTCGTCACTTTTGAGAAATAAAAAACGTATTTAAATAATTAATTTTAGCATATCAGTATTAGGAAATTGTTGAATGAAATAATATTATAATATTATATAGTATAAAACAGTTTAAGAAATAAATTAACTTTTTTTTTGGGGGGGGAGAGAATGACATCATCATTGACCGTGGGCGCCTCATGTCTAAGGATGGCACTGTATTCGGACTCATAACAACGAACTCCGGAGTGAAACAAGGAGACGCTCTCGCATGCTTCTTTTTTATTTCACGTTGAAGCGAGCAAAGCGTCGATCAGGCATCCAGACTCGAGCCACTTTGATTAATAGCACGATTCAGCTGTTGGGATACGCAGACGACTTTGACATTACTACAAGATCCGAACGTGTCCCTCTCTCAAGAGGTGGTCCTAGCTCGTGAAGAAGAAGTTAGAAAGCTAGGGTTGGCTATCAATAAATCTAAGAAGAACTGTATGAAAATAGAAGGAGCAGGGACGGGGGCTAGTTTGTTTGAAGTTGGTCCCAACTGATTTGGGACTGTGCATAGTTTCATTTACCTGGATTCACAGGTGAAAGGCCGATACGACGAATCTGCGGAATCTACAGGAGGGTCGCTGCAGCACACCGTAGTTATTTTGTAGAATAAATCATTGCAGTAAGGCATTTTAGGAGCAGATACCTCTCAAACAAGACAAAGATCATCCTTGAATAAGACCTTCGTGCGCCCTGTTCTTACATATAGGTCAGAAGCGTGGGCCTCCACCAGAGATAATAAGACAAGGTTACTAGTATTCGAACGAAAGATACTGAGTAAAATTTTTGGCTCGGTTTGAAAGGGAAACCTCTGTGGAATAAGAAGCTTTCTGCGTTGTATACTGACATTGATATGGTGTGAAGTTTATAAAACTCAGAAGATTTCGATGGGCAGGCCACGTGGTGAGGATGGAGGATGACATGACTATGAAGATTTTGACCGACGAGCTTTACGGCAAGCGGAGAGTTGGTCGGCCTAGTGTATGATGGGTGGACTGCATCGCTAAGGACGTGCGGGTTTATCTTGGCCCCCAAAACTGGAAAGCTGCTCAAACAAACCGAGCCAACTGATGAAGGCTTTTAGAGAAAGCCGAGACTGGTTGACGGTCGTAGCGCCCACGTTGACGATGTTAATGTGTGCGAGAGTGTGTGAGCTTGAGTGTGTTCTCGCGCAAAGTATTATTAAAAAGTTTTTTAAGGTGTGTGTTAACGCCACAGCGTTAATTTATTTTATTTTTACAGTTAAAAACGCCACAGCGTTAATTCAATTTATTTTACACTTAACTAGTTTGATTAATTGTGGATTTGTTTTATTTTTGTAAATTGAAATCAATTAATAATATGTATATTTATGTATAAGATATGTGTATATTAAGTACTATAGGCCCATAGCTTATATTGTTTATATTAAATAAATCAATAGTTTATAGTTGGACTACTTTGTTATGGATTGTAGTAGCACTAGCTATAAACAAGTGCTTGGTTCAAGTCATAAGGCGGTAGAATTGACAAGAAACGGTCTGACTCTGCCCCTAACTGAGCTGAGTACTGCCAACTTCAACCCTGCCCACTGCAGTTCTGCTCTGAAGAGATGTATTTCTCTCGTCGTGCACGCCGCTGCCCATTTGCAGTTCGTTTTGAGCACGCTCATTGAAGAGTTACAATTGATTTCTGCATAGAGACAGAGGTTTACGAACGTCCTGCTTCGTCCACGTAACGTTGTACAATCTAATTATTTGTTATATATATATGAATTTCATATTGGGACTTTAGAGAAGTTGTTTTTTTAATTTTATTTTTATTATAATTTGGGCCATAGAAATAGTTTTTATTTATGATCAAGCATGAAAATGCTTTATTAATATTGTCACAATTGTTTGTTCAGCTGGTCTTTATTTTATGCTAGAAGTTTGTTATTTTTTTACCTATCTAACAAGTGTAAAATTGATTCATTTTGTTTTTGTGTTTTCAATATTAGATTTCGTAAATGTTCCAAAATAAATGTTTGAAGATACAGTCCACTTTATTTCTTTTATTAAATCACAATTAAATAGTTAGGCTTCATTCGAAGTTTGACATAAACTAAGAGGGAGCTAACAGTGTATGTGTGATGATCGGCAGCTTACGAAAGGATTTTGTATTTTGCACTATGACTAAGTTAACTGGTCGACGAACTCACTCTAATTCTGACTAAGTCATTCGCAGAGCTTATATTCAGCTGTGTGGCATGTTAAATCTGTTGCTAGAAATAAGAAATAGAAAACAAAATGATCTGAGATAACTCACATCTATGCAAGCTTCAAATAAACGTTAATTTTGGCAAAGTAAAATATAATTGATGAGTTTAAATTGGTTTAGAAGAAGACTGAAAATGTAATGTCTCTCTGTCTTGCCTTTTCATAGTTATTATTACAACCTTCTTTACTTTTCTTTCTATGACAACAATACGCGGTATTACGCAGATTTACGTATACTCGCTCTTTTTATATCATCTCCTTACCTTATCAAAGACCAATTTCTATGTAAACTCCCTTCTCTAGAATTTTAATTTTGCCCTCATCTTCTTAAAAATGGTTCAAGTTCAAACAGAATTATAAATATTGTAGCTTATACATAATTTCACTTTCTGTTATCTGCTATATGTATTTTCTTTTATTGTTCTGAAAGTTCTCCGAATTGAAACCCCATAAAAATATGATTCATTCAAAAATTCACATCCCAAAAAACGTTGCCTCCTCCGAAATTACAACCATGTGAAAATGTGTCCTCATGAAATTATTACTGAGTTGAACAGATATTATATAAAGCCGGATAAACGTGATTAAGTCAGTAATGGTGACTGATACTGAAGAATATTGTTTTAACAGTGACACAAGTTGTATTTTAAGCTCTGATCAACAGTTGTTGTGTCGCAGATACCACTTCTAAGACTTTTTTTTTATTTTTTTATTTTTTTACTTATTTGAAAATTAATACATTCTGCCGCATTGAAGGGCATTAATATTAGGGCTACATTAAACATTCACACAATATATACATACAAATGATAAATAAAAAAATAAAATAGAGATAAACTAAAAAGAGTTTAACATATATCGGTAAAAAAATAAAAATAAAGACTAAATGAAATTGAAATATATAAAACACATTCATACCTACATACAATATTTACATTCGCCCAGAGGATTCTGAGTCATGTTTTGTCTCCCAAATATGGAAGCCAAGGCAGGACCCCAGGAGATCCCAGTTCTTCTCTCCCAGCCGCGTCACTGGTATTACAAGCCAGTGGAGACTGATGGAGGGCACTACAGTAACAGACGCTGAGGACATGAGTGGAGAATCTGGCCATTGCCAGTACTCCAATATATACATACTTACAAAAGGTAGCTGGGCCATTGCCGTTTTAACCTCCGGGGAGGATTATAGGTCATTAGGGAGGTTCTTGTTGGATACATAGAAGGGAGCATCGACTATTGTCCGGAGGACTTTAGACTGAAAGGATTGAATGCGCTTAATGTTAGAAGGTTTTGTTGACCCCCACAGCTCTAGTCCGTAGGTCCAGATAGGTTTCAAGATTGTCTTGAAGATTAGTAGTTTGTTGTCGACTGAAAGTTGAGATTTTCTATTCATTAGTCTATATAGATGTCCGAATCGTCTGTTTAGTTGTCTTTTAAGTCTTCTAAGACTAATCTTCATTTTCAAAAATGTCTATTTCGACATTTAACTAGCAGTTATTAGTGAGAATCAGTATACCATTTTTATTTTTAAATACTCTTCGTTATCAGGGACTACTAATTTATTGTCAAGTTTCTTTGGTAAACTTTGACTAACGGATTTATTTATCAGCTAGTACCTCTTTACATTGATTAATCGATTGTTTTATCACTTAAGTTCACATTAGCGGGGATTTTCAAGTCTCATGATAAGGTTACTTCTATTTGAATTGTAAAATTGAGTTGAAAGATGATATTAACCGTTAATTAGTTTGTAATTAATGTCACGATCCAACATGGGATTGCTGCCGATAATTTTCATTTTGCACTTATTTTTTTTGGTGTCGATTTTTGATATTTATTTTAGGTCTCCTATTATTGAAGAACCTATTAAGGCTGTCAATAATAACTTGATTACAAATACTAAGCGTCTTGTTCTTTTTGTTGGTGATGGATTACCTGCAGAACATTTATTTGATTTTTCTTCTGGCTATAGCAAAGCTCCGTTTTTAAGGTAATGATAGTTTTCTTATTATAACATTGTTATTGAGTTCATTATAACAATTATTTTATTAATTGATAAGGTCGGTGATTGAAAATAAAGGATCGTGGGGAGTTTCTCACACCCGGGTTCCTACTGAATCCAGACCTGGACATGTTGCTATGATCGCAGGTTTTTATGAAGACCCTTCAGCAGTCTTTCGTGTAATGTATCAAAATTAAGAATATATTTCTCTCAATTTTATTAGACTAATATGTTTTTTAGTTATTGAACCTATATGTTTTTTAAACTATTGATTGGTTTTTGAAATGAGACTTGATATTACCAGAGTAAAATCAAATTGAATAAAAAAATGTTGTCCTGTATATAATTGTTTATTATTTCTGGCAACTGGTTTCTGCCTTTTATAGGGCCTAACTCCCTCAGTTTTCTCTTGAAATACTGACAGCAGATGGGAAGTGAGTTGAAATGAAAGGAAGTTTGTACTGGCGAAGAACCAAAACAGATTGCAAGAAAGAATACGTAGAGAGAGAAATACTTTATTCAAAGTAGTGCTGACCTACTAGATAGGGTTACTTTATACATATCATACTTATTAATCTCTTTTGGACTTAGCACTTACATTACATTATTTTCTATGTTGTATATAAGTTTTTCCTCCTGTTTCTTATCATTAATCATATAAAAACTCATTGATGTAATACATTAAACTATAATTATTACAATGTATATATTTTTTAAAATTCATATACTAAAAATACAAGTTTTACATGCACACATATTAATCAACATAATTTTATCAATGTAAATAAAAAGATATGACAAATAAATATTAAAATTAAATTAATATCCTCAATTAATGGTCTGTTACCACAGGGGTTTCCAAACTACGGCCCGTGGGCCCGCCAGCACTTCCAATCTGGCCCATGAACATTTCTTTGATTACATAGTATAATTTTTAAAAATATGATATTTAGCTAATTAATCGTACAAGAGGTTACTACATAATTTATTGCACGATTGCTTTCTCTTAAAAAGTTTATTTCACAGCTGTAGTGTCATTTATAGAACAAAATTTGTTTTTCATCACAACCCGTGGCCCGTGGTCTCAAATATGGCCTGCAGGACTTAGTGGAGGTATCAATCTATCCCCTTCTCTGGACAGCCTTGATGAAGGCCTGTAAAATTGGCATGTTTCTCTCTGTAGTCTTTGTATTCATTTGTTGTACCCCTTAACCAACTTTCTCAAAATGTATACATTAATTTATACTATTGCCTTACATTAATTTTTATCCTGGTCAAAATGATATTGAGTAAGGTATTTTCAGTTGAAGACGCTTAAGAATATGTATCAGATCTGCAGTTTAAGATGGTTAAGGAGAGTTAGGGTATGCTTTTATCACTGGAATTAGAAAACCACTATTGAATTACCTCTTGATTCAAAAGTGTCATACAGTTGTTCAGTGAGATTCTTATTTTCAGTTCCATAAAGTTTCTGCCTTTTTTAATTCATCCCACTCAATGAAAAGATTAGTAGCAGAGGAAGTTAGTGCATGGTTCCTAGGGCTCCCCACTAATACATCAACGGCGATGTATGCACAGTGGAGGTATCGAGGATTGGGACTGATCTGCTGTCAATGGTAGGTTTCTTTGCAGCATTAGTCCATTGTTCAGCGACTGTCCAATGTACCGGATGCCCTGTTCCAGTCCGCATTTGATTATAATGTAGATATGCAGAATGTGCAGAAAAACTGGGAGTGGATCTGGGCCACTGAAATGTGAGAGCTCTACGACAGTCGCTAAGAGAAAATCCTTTTGAAGAATGGGCCAGCTGCTGTTGGCAAGGCATTGGAGTTCGGCATTTTAAAGAAACCCCGAAAGCTAATAAATATTTATGCCAAAAGCAAGTGCTTTCGGGATTAGAATGACCTTCAAAGTCAACATCAATTACGCACCTTTGTGTGGAGTCCCAGGAGCCAGTGGACAGTCGAAAGAAGTCGGGTCCCTCTGTAGTAAGGGCGGCAGAGAGTCTGAAACACCATCCCATGTGCTGGGAAAATGCCCTAACAATCCCCTCCTTATAACACACTGGCACCGTAGGGTCTTGGAATTGGTGAGGCTCCTTAGAGAAAACTAATTCACCTGCTTCGATGAGGTCTATTGCATCGACAGTGAAGGCTCAACCAGGTATGCGGACATTGTTGCATTTCCCGGGACAGGAAAGACAGCTCTGATCTTGGATCCAATTGTCCACTTTGAGAGCAATGACCTCGATCAAGCGGGTGAAGTGGAAATGAGACAGAAAAACATATACGATAAATGTATCCCTTTCCTAAAAGAGAAGTTCCGTGAGACCTTCGGAGAGAGAGAGTTCACCGTGAGAGACCTCTGGTTTGGGTCTCACGGAACGATTCCAAAAAGAAAAAGGAGCTTCCTTGAGGAACTAGGTGTTGATGTTGGGGAGCTTGCGATATTGCCCAAAAGTATTATTCTAGACTCCCTAGGGATCATCCACTATCACTTGTATAATAATTGACTAAATTTAGGATGTCCTTTGTCATTTATCCATTTATTTATTTAATTTTAATTTTTTAGCTTTGCCTTATCTTTTTGTCTATATTCAAGGAATTGCACTGATATATGAGTGCAATTTAGTTGTGTATTTCTAGCATTCGAATACTTTCTTCTTTTTTTTCATAAAATATATTTATTGTATATTGGTAATTTTTTAGTGTGGTATTGTTAATAATATGGTAAATGGACTAGTGTTGTGAAAAGGGATAAAAAAAAAATATTATATGTTTATATAATAATAGAATAATATGATGTAAGAACTATGTCCATATGGATTGAGCAGTATGCTTTGTAAAAAGCAACCCTATATAGTAGGGCAGCACTACTTTAAATAAATTATTTCTCTCTCTCTCTCTCTTGGGATACAATAATGTTAATTAATAGAAGGTTAAACAATTCAACAATTTACATGTTAAGAACCTTTTTTCATCCCTTGTGTGTTGTCTTAACGTGTGTTTGTGGGATGAAAAAAAGGGTCCTAACATGTTAATTATTGTATTAATTAATTTTTATAAATGCTATACTTTTTATTGTGTTATAGCTAATAATGTAATTTCAAGTTCTTTGTTTTCAGGGTTGGAAGGAAAATCCTGTTCTTTTTGATTCGGTGTTTAATCAAAGTGCAATTACATTTTCATGGGGTAGTCCTGATATTGTGCCCATGTTTAGTAAAGGTAACCATTGAATATTATGTTTTGCATTGATGTTTAGTACAGATATTGGTTTTAAACAGAAAAAAATGTGTTGCACATGTACAAGTGTATATTTTTAATGTCATTTGGTCACTATAATTTAAATTACCTACCTGTGAATGATATTTACATTAGATTAACTTTACTTTATTTTAAATAGGTTGTATGTACAGTTATTTTCTGATTGTTCTATTTTGTTACATATTTTACTTGCTATGTTTGAAAAAATGACTGTGAAGTATAAGAGTATGGTGATGTTAAAATATCTTTAATTACTGGCAAAGTAGTTACTTATAATTTTTTTAAGTTTTAAAAAAACCTTCAGTTGTTGACCAAGACTTTACAATCAAAAACGAACTTTGGTGATGGGTATTACTTATCATCAGAGCTGAGGCTATACTAGTTCTCATGATATCTCATCAATGTTTGAAAATAAAAATAAACATTTAGGTTCTTCAAAGTTTATATGCTCAGGCACAACACATGTTAGATAAATATTGTTTAGTATATTTAATAGAAACTACATGCATCATCGTTTCAGACATTGTCAAACTGAATATTTTATTTGAATACCTGTCACCATGGCCCTGTCATACAACGAGGATTGGTTTCAAATTCTATTTACTCCATCCATCATACTTCATCATACCAATATCAAGGTAGTTTTAATATTGTTGAACCTGGTTGTACATCTTGCATTTTTGTCACCCAACCTGCCCACATACTATCTTACATTACCAAGTTGTACAATAGATTGTCCTTCTATAAATAAAGCCACTGATATCAGGCTGGTTTTATATTGATGAACTTAGTTGTACAACTTGCAATTTGGTCACCCAACTCGTCAAAATACTATCTGACATAAGCAAGTTGTATGACAGGTGGTCCTTGTTTGGGCCCCTTTATACATCTAGTGGATGTGAGGTCTAACATGGAAGTTGTGCTGAGTCATCTGAAGGTAATTAAAAATATCCCTGTTCATTGCTCATTAAATCGTCCAAAATTATCATTTTCTCTTCCATCCGTTTAGCAAAGAATGAACAGCAATATGTATTGAATTGTTATTCTTCGTACAAATAAAATAGCTATTGCACTCAATGTGGTCATAAGAAAGAGAGAAAATTACAAAATCTGTTTTGTGATTAAACTGAAATATATGCGCTTGAATTGTCAGTCATGTACCATGTTGCATAATATACATTTACTGCTATTTTTTTCTGACACATGCCCAGTCATGTTGTATAATGTTAAACCTCTTTGAAATAGCCCTGATTTTGCATTCTTAGATTATTATTATTCGTTTAGATCAGTGCTTCATTTTCTTTAGTCAATGATTGACGAATAGATTTATAGGTCTTTCATGCTAAAGCGTATCTATTCTTTACTGACTAAACCCATTATAATTTTTTTTTCTTTTGACTTTACAAATTGACTTTCTGATGGATTGCTCTGACCCACATGCGCCTCCCTCCATCTTAATCTCCTTGCCTTCATGAGATATCGATTGACCAATTTCTTCAAGCAGTTCGTTATTAATCTTTCACTTCCTTGCTTTAGTACTCTCTCTGGTCTCAAATCACTCTGGATATCCTACAGAAATTTTTACTCTCAAATCTTTCAATATTTCTTGTTAGGGTGCTGGTTAGTATCCAGGTTTCACAGAACTAGTTTCATCTTAGCATTGTGCACTTTTGAAATATTGAAGAAAATTCTGCACCTGTTATACACATTTAAGGATTTTAATACCTTTGAAAGAGAGAAGATAAATCTGTTTGCACTTGATATATACTGGTCTATTTCTGACCATTGATATTTCATTGATGTTATTGTGGATCTGGGTTATTTTGATCTATCTTCTCTTGTGAGTGATTTTCCTTTTACGCAGATCCTACTGTTATGGTGAAATTTTTGGTTTACTAACATGTATTTCTATTTATCTTCATTTGCTTGTAGAACAATTAGCATTGCTTCTTGCCAGAGTCTTAGAAAGTCTCTTAATTTATTCTTAATTGCTTTTAAGGTTTAGGTTTAGGCTGCAGGGGCGCAGATGCGCCAAAGTTACTATCCTCTATAGCTCGACCATGGATCATTGTATACACACCGTCCTCTGATCACTTTACCTAATCTGATGTATCATTATCATTTCGTCCACAATGTAATGATATATCAGATACCTGTATAGGGGTATCTCTAGTCTAATCCATCCCTTTGGATGGTTTTAACTAAGACAAACTCTACTTGCATTTAATGGAAATTATGTCTAGTTTACTATGAAATACCTATAATAAATAGTATTAAATGAAAATACCTAAATTAAATATTTTTTAGTTATCGCTTCCTGTTCTACAAAATACGTGACTTACTAAAAAAAAAACACAACTTAAATTTCCTACCTTTCTGCAGAAAATCAGACCATGGTTTGGTTGTTCTTAAGGTCAACTGTCACCCCTTTAAATATTTTCCTTTGCTTACAGGACACACTGTATAAGTATAGAGTTGCACTAGGCTTTTATTTATTATTGCATTTTTGCAAAAATGTTGCTAATCAGGAATGTTTGAAAAAAGTCGAGATTTTTATCACTTGAATCGGTAGACACCATACGCTCATTTAAGCTGCTCATTTACTGGTAATTATGTCATTTTTCATGTAACAAGGGGAGGCCACAGTCGGTGAGTCAATGGTTTCAACCAATTTTTTTTTGGTGATACTACATTGAAAAATATTGGACACATGTCCCTGTATTCGTTCCAATATAATAATTATATAATTTCAAATAAAATATAAGTCAATTATTTTTGCCTTTGCTCATGTAAAATTTAATTTGCTTTGATTACAAATAAATTTTCATTATTTTATATTAATTTTTTTGTGTAGTTTGAAGTTTTGTCATATACTAGACTATCTAATTATAAATTAAATGTTTAATGCTTAAAAATGTTGAATTGTATACTGGTAAATTTGATTTTCAGGTCCTAAAACAGATCATATTCATTATTTTACATATTCATCAGAAATGGAAGATATGTCTGGTAAAAATCACTCTGCTGCTCAATTAGACTCATGGGTTTTGAATAATTTTAAACAGTTTATTCAGTATAATTTCAGTTCCTACAATATCTATGAGAAATCCCAGCTCATATTTTTTTTTCATCTATTAGGCACTGATGTTGCTGGACATGCCAATAAACCCTATACATTGTAAGTAGATCATTCTTAAAATAAAAATAATTTTGTGGTCAAATTAATTTATATGTATATAAAATACATTGATTGGGTTTTATAACAATTTATTGAAGAGACATTATTAATTATGGTGTCTGAAATGGAATTTTTGGATCCAACCAAGTCATAATTGGTATATATTAAAATCAATTATAATTAAAACTAATTACAATGTGTAGGATATACATATAACAACAAATATCAATTATAAATTTATTTAATGCTTGATAAATATGAGATTATTTCTAAATCTATCTGTAATTTGAATTATAAATCTTTCATAATCATCTTATGAAATTATTTATTGATATTTATAATTTAAATATGATTAGCTCTTTAACTAGGAAACTAAAACAAGTTTTAATTTGTAACATTAAATGAGCGCATTAAAACACTTGGTTTTTGTTTCTGTTCAGTAATTCTTTAATACTTAATAGGTCTTATATTTCTTTATTTCCTCCCAATTTGATTATCGAAAGAAAAAGTGCTCCCTAAATATTTAAATAAGTATTACTTTCATAAAATGCTCTTAAGGTACATGGTTTTGTCTATATTAATATAAGGATTATAATAATACAATTGTTTTAGTTTGACTTTTTTATTCTTTTTATTTGAGAGTTTTTATGCGTTATTTTGCATTTTTTCTCTTTAAATATTTTTACTTTATAAAATGTTGACACAATTATATATCAACTAAAGATTAATATACCTAAATCTATAATTATAAACAATTAATATGTTTATTTTAAGTCAATATCAGTTTATTTATAAATAATTATGTGTTAGGTCTCTGTCAGAGTCATTATATTTATTAGTTTATCATTGGTTAATGTAAGATATCCTTTTTTACTAAACTTGAAAAGATAAATTTCTCGACTAAAATTTTAACATGATGACCTGCCTTTTTTATTAATACTAGGTTTTAGAAGTAAATCATTGTTGATATATTTTTTGCTGGACTCTATTGTAACAAATCAATTTCATTGGAAAAATTTTAATAAAAATTTGTATTCTTTTAACCTCTCCTAGGCAATACGAAAGCACCATTAAAAATATGGATAGGGTGGTAAAAGAACTTCATTCAATAATTGAAAAATTGTTTGATGATGATAAAACCACATATTTGTTTACCTCTGATCATGGTATGACTGTTTGGGGTAAGTACTGTAATTTTTCTTAATCCTTAAAATTTTGACAATGTATTAAAAATATCCAAACTATTTCTTTACCTTTTCTTTTGACACTATGTGCCCCAAGACAATTTATGAGCCATAGACAATATTCGTGTTTTGCTAAATATTTTATTTAAGCTGGTATGTTATAAAATTACTTATGTTACCAACTTTATTAAAAAAATAAAATTACTTGTTACTCAATTCCAAGTCAATTGCCCCTAAATTTTAGATTTTTTTTCTTATAATGAGGATTTAAAAAAAAATAAAATGGAATTGGTTATTGGAGAAAAGATTCGAGTATAGACACGTCTGTGCTTAGAATGGGTTTCAGTCTAAGGCCCAGTTGCACCGACCGCTGTTAACTTAAATTTTATTAATTTTGATTAGTTTAACACTGTTTAACAAAATTACCGTTGCCCCAATGTTGATTAGCGTTAACAACGTGTTAGTTATAACTAGAAAATCTAATTTTAAACCTTGATCAAATCTTTAACCAATGTTAAAGTGTAACCTTACATACGGTTACTTCGAACAACAAACAAATATTTGCTTCTTCTGAGAATAATAGTGTACTGGTTTTGTTTTGCACAATGTTAAAGTGTAACCTTACATACGGTTACTTCGAACAACAAACAAATATTTGTTTCTTCTGAGAATACTTTTTGTTTTGTATGTTTCTCAAGGCTACTACAAATATGATTTCATCTGAAGAATATTCCTCTGAAGAAAGTTTATCATCAGATGAAGACTTATTAAATCTTATCAATCCGTTTTTCACTTTCTGAAAAATTGCTCCCTATTTCTATTTTTTCTATTATCTTTACAATAATTAACAAGCGATTATTAATCAAATAACCTAACACCTCATTAACTGTAAATATCAAAGTTTGCATGCAAGTAGATGGAAGGTTTCATAATATAACCCATGTTTCTTTACAATCACTGGTTCTTGTTATACATCATAAATAATATGCCATCACACGTTAACACCTTGTTTACTAAATTAAACATCGGTTTAAAAATTTCCCCCCTACCCTACCCCCCCCACATCCCAAAAAATTGCATACAGTTGTGTTCCTTGTAACTATTTATTAAAAATAAGGTAATGTTTTCACAAAAAAAGTGACCACACTGTCCCAAAACGGCGTCCAAACAAGGCGGATTGACACCTTTGATTTGAGTTAGTGTTTCGGTCACTGAGATTCAGCAATTGGCTTAATTTCTTCTTACTTGGCCTTTTATGAAAACTGAATAGTTAGAGAATAATTAAACATGAAAAAATATTAAAAAGTAATAAGCCTTGGCAATAAAAACACCAGTAAAGTTGGTTTTTTCAAGTCGTTCAAATTAAAGTTAAAAATTATGTGTTTATAAATAAATGGTCAAAAATACCGAAAACATAAATAAATGAAACATCTGGAGAGTACATTTCTCTTTCTAAAACCCTGATTTTTTTTTGTTAAATGTTTGAAGCCGTTACGTACAAAATGCACTTATGTGGTGGAAAAGCTGGACTGGTATAGACGCCTATAGTCCTCTGCCACATCATTCATTACTCATAAATGGCATAGTTATAGTGTTATAGTAACATTAAATGCTATTGAGGTAAAGAAACATTATCATTTGGAAGATAAGACATTGCTTTATTATTGCTTTATCAAGCACATACTTTAGACATTAGACATCCCTGGGCGAAGTCATCTTCTCTCCTGATTTTGGATCCACTGCTATATTATTTCTGAATACCTTATCCAAACCTTTTTCAATCTAAGTACTCCTTTTATTTTATTTTATTTTATTTTTTTTTTGACATTGATAAGTGTTGACATTCATACAAATGAATAATCCAGTAAATGTAAACAGTTTGTTATTTAGAGGGGTATTTTAAAGAAAACTGAAAATCCTGCATTATTTTCCTGGAGAACCCAATATTTACTTTTTTTTTATGGATGACAGACATTGAACTTCAAGCCCTTGTCACTTTGACTATAAACGTCCATTCATTTTCACAGCTGCTGACTCAAATATTATGAATAATCAATCATTTTGACTGAATATTTATTATATTTATTTATTAGAAACAAAGAAAAAAAATTATTATGACTGAAAAAAATCATCTATTCTACATACCACTACCTCAAAAAAAAAGAGGGTTAAGTGTAAGTGTTCTAAATTTCTATCAATCAGATACAAACATTGGCACCCTTAAGGTACTATTTCGTGCTTTGTAGCTTACTGCTTTGTGGTTGACCACTGCTTTAGTGGAATAGAAAGGAATCTATTTCGCTGGCACTGCTTGGCAGTCTGGGTATGACGTAATATCTAAGCTGCTCTTATCTGACCGCTCCTGAAGCAGTGGAACTGTTGGCGGTTGGGTGGTTCTAGGTTATATTATCATATCAGAGCATTGTTTTGATGATAACAGTCATGTTGATACTATTTATTTCCTATGTTTCTTTCAAGTCTGTAATCAGAAATATTGTTTAAAACTGAAACAACGCAATTGTAATTATTTTTTTCTAATGTTGAAGTAACAAGATTATTTATTTAAGCAACAGTATTTTACAGCGAAATTCAAATATACCTAAATCCAAACGATATTAAATAAATTAAAGAATAAAAACATAAAATATAAAAGAATAAAAAAGCGGTAGTAAGAGATAGTAAGTCCATTTTTACTTTCACTTACGTATATATGTAATATATAGTAAGGGTAAGTATTGTGATCGTGAAAATTTTTTTATCTTCCAGATAGAACGAAATGTTCAAAGGTTATAGGCAGGTTATAACAACCCCAGTGAGCAGTTTCAGCGAAATAGCTTCGCAACAGTGGTTGGCAGCGTAGGATTACGGTCATTGTCGTGGGCCGGGCCAGCGAAATAGTACCTTTAGACATTAGACATCCCTGGGCGAAGTCATCTTCTCTCCTGATTTTGGATGCACTGCTATATTATTTCTGAATACCTTATCCAAACCTTTTTCAACCTAAATACTCCTTTTATTTTATTTTATTATTTTTTTTTGTCATAATGTATCACACCAGCAGATATAATGAAACCTCTGGATAATTGACAGTCATGGTGATTCATCTTTTGTCCTTAAGAGGAGTGTTCCTAATGTAGAGATTTTTATACATCTATATTCCATTGCCTATACATTAAAAGTTGTCCTGTAAATAGAGGTAGTTCCTGAATGAGAGAGGTTTCACTGTGATAGGCTGTCGTCCTCAATATGGCTGTATCAGCACAAGAGTGATTCTGTCAATTTCAATTTAAACATATGATAGTTTAGTTCACTGTGATGTTAATAGTTCGCTGTTATTTTCCTTGAATATCCCATGTCCAATTTATATATCTATCACTGAGGCCATCTAGGAACATCTTAAGAGTAGAGCTGTTTCTTGTCTATATTGTTTTTTTAAATGCCATATGCCTCCCTAATTCTTATTTTGGCATAGCTTAGGCTTATATTACAAACTGTTTCTGAGGTAATGGGAGTACTCTCAGTCCTTCTTTGCTAATTTATCATTTTCTTAGTTGCCTGGTATGCCTAAATGTCCTGATACCTATTCAATGAGTATATTGTTTTACTGAGCAAGATTGTTCGGTGTTGGATTGCAATCTATTACAATTATTGATCATGTAATGTTGTTGCTGAATGACCCTATCCTTGGCTGTCAGTATCAATATAGTGTTTTACCTTTCAATTCCTCATTTAGGAGTGTGTTGGCACAATAACTGATGGCTAGTACTTCAGATTGAAATAATGACTTACATTTGCCTTAAGCCGGAGTCACATGATGTCCTAAGTACTATGAACATTCATGCTTCAGGACACTTACGTCATCGTGTGACGATATTGGGAATGGCAAGTCGCGAATGTGAAGTGATGAATGTTCATGAATAGTCGCACTATTCTGCACTGCAATTTCACTTTTGTATGACTTTTCTTTTTTGAGCTAAATTGTTTACAAACTCAAACAGACCACTTTGTGTGACTTGGTTATTTCATTTGGACTCAGTAGACCTCAAAACGTGTATTTCCGTTGAAAACTGAGATTTAAAAATTTTCATGATCCCAATACTTCAAAAAAGTAACTAAAAGGTAATACATAGAGTTATTAAATTTATATTCTCAAAATGTGATTAAACTTACAAGTAAATCAACCCCAGACTAGATTATAAGATATTTGGATATGAACATCAGTTTCGGCTATTTTGATTTTAAATACTTAAAATATCAAATAATAAATAAATTTGATGTCTTGATTATTAATTGTTTTAAAGAATTAAATGATAAATGGCATATATTAAAATTAAATTTAACATAAAGTATGTTAAGTATATATTACATTAATATATATGTATGTTAAGTATATTACATAAAGTAATAAATCAAAATATTATATCATAAATTTTGAATTAACATCAACTTTTTTTTGTTAACATAATAAATTACAATTCATTCATAGAACAAAAAACAAAATAAAAAAATTTAATGTTGACCATACCTAATAACCAGCGTTTCCTCCATATATTTTTTAATTCCCTGTTTGGTAGATTGTTAAAATTGTATCCTTTAGCCTCCATCTTTTCTCTGATGGTTGTATTTCTGACTTTATCCATTCTAAATATTTCTGCCGCTCGTCTCCAGTAGTCCATTTCGGTGGCTAGAAGTTTCTTCCTGAGGTTGCTTTTTATGATTCAAGCTTCTGACCCATATGCCATAATTTTAAAAGCCTCCATAAAAGCCTAAAAGCCCTCCATATTTTAAAAGCTCGAAATTAATTCCAACTGACTCTGGTGCTTTATTATTCTTCCCTAGCTTGAGTTCCTTTTCGACCAGATCCTCACCAACAGTCATATCTGCTCATTCATACAACCATATATACGAATATATGTAAAAGAGAGAAACACTTTATTTACATATAAAATATAAATTTTATTAATAATAAAAAAGTGTTATAAAATTGACTATGTCATAATACATGCATTTTACATAGGCAAACATCACTTAACTTTTAAAAAATAAAGTAATAATAATAAACAGGATTTGAAATAGATAATTAAGAAAATAAAAACAAAAATCATTTGATGGTTTTTATAAAGAGCGATTTTTATTTTTATAAAAATCATACCCTGATTATTATTTTTCAACAAAATTTTTCTATTAGCAGCATAGCATCTTTATATCAGAAATTCATTTGAAATTTTGTCTTAGAAATATATATAGTGCAGGTGCCGCATGCACAATTTAAGCTATTAAAGAAATGTAATATTAAAAAATGTATCCATTTACAACGAATACATTCATATCAATATATTAATTTGTGTGTAAAAGGTGATTTTTATTTTCTGATCAAAAGTTTTTTAATCATTATTATTTATGTAGTATTTTTATTTTTAATCGAATCATGATTTGGTGAAAAAAATACTTATCTATTTCAAATCCTGTTGATAAAGTATATTTAATAATTATTAATTAAATGTTACAGCACTGACAAAACAAGTTTCTATTGACTTATCATAATAATTTGTAGTTTAATTATAATAAACTTTTAATTTTTGTTGAAATCGGTAACATATATATATATATATATATATATATATATATATATATATATATAAATCCTACATTCTTCTCACATTGTGTAAACCATACACATCATATTTGTGGAACCATTCAAGATTTGAAAGTTGCTGTGAACATTTGTGCAAACGTTTAGGGTATCGTGTGATATCGCCTTTAGGGAATTGATATTCTTTATCGAGGTTTGTTCTCTATCTGCTCATCCTCAATCTGCTAAATTAGTTTCTAATGTCATTTCTGAGTCAGGACTTTGGTACAAGTTTCTTATTTAGAACGCTTATTAAGGCCTATAGTTCTATCTGTTAGAACAATGGTGAAATACCAATCATAATCTCCATAATGGCTGTTGGCTGTTTTTAAGTGTCTAAAGGACACTTTATTTAGGCCACACCCACCTCCATGTGTTGTGTCTTTATACGATTCTCATAGAAATTCTCGTGTAACGTGAGTAGCAGTAAATCATTAAAACAAATCAAAATCAAAATTTTGGTTCCCACAAGTATAGGGGGACTTAAAATCACTGCAGGTATTATACCCTGAAGGGCTGGAAATTCAAAAATATTAGGCTGAGCACTGAGGAATTATCATTCTGAAATGAAATGAAATGAAAATAGGTTTTTATTATCCTGGGACTTTTCACTCTTTAGGACAAATTATAGATACAGAGAAAATGCCTGGGTGACCATAAAATTAAATTAAATATTTACAATGCTCATTAAAATAAAAATATTAATTCTGCTGATAGTGGGGGAACTCCTGCACTTCTCTTCCTCTCCATCCCTCAAGTTACCTAACTCATTTTGTCCTTGTTTGGGTCTGTGTTCCTTAGACCTATCTATTTTGACTCAGTATTCTCCATTTGCAATTATCTGAAGAAAAGTACACTGATAGTACCTCATAGTTTAATTATTGTTACTTATTATCCAGAGTAATCTCTGATAATAACTCTATGATTTTAGTTTTTATTCATTTCCAGGTTCACATGGTGCAGGATCTATGATAGAAACTGAAACACCTATTATTGTGTGGGGTGCTGGGATCAAAAAACCTTTAATGTCCAATAATAGTGTAGGTTTAACTCCTGATAATTGGAAGTTATCACATTTATATAGACATGATATAAATCAAGCAGACATTGCAGTCTTAATGTCAGTTTTGTTAGGAGTTTCAATACCAGTTCATTCCGTTGTAAGTTAATTAAATTTTACATTTAGGTAATTCACTTTCCTCTGCTTCTATAAATTAAAATAAATTTATATTTTTTTTACAGGGTACTCTTCCTTTGGATTTTCTTGACTTTTCTGAACAAGATCGAGCTAAAGCATACATTTTAAACGCCATGCAACTGGTCACACAATTAAAAGCTAAAGAATACCAAGTGAGAAGCCAGTTAGCAAATTGCTTTTTTTATCCATTTCCAAATACAATTATCAGTAATTATGAAGAAGTGATATATAACATAGGAAAAGCAATAGCCAGTTTGGATTTCTTGGCAGCTGTATGTAATATTATAACATACTTACAATTAAAGCATGATTATTTTTCAATTTGTATTTAGATAATGAATACATTTAATACAGTATGAATTTCAAAATTGAAAAATAATTATAAAATGAAGTCTTAAATTAATTTGTTTGTTTATTTGGACTTTGATATCCTTATGCATTCAAATGAGGGTAGAAAGTTTTACTAACTTATTCTAACCAGAGTGAGAAAGTTAAGATTTAGCTAGTTCTGCCATAAATACTGTTACAAAAGTTGAACTTTGTTTACATTCTTGGGTAGTAATTAGATAATCTTTACCTCTATCAGATTATTTTCTTTACATGTCAGGATAATAATTCCTATTAGTTTTTATTTTGTATTCGCTCAGTTAACATGAAGTGGGGTGATAAAGAAAACCTAATAGCTGTGATAACCTTACACAAAGTTGGAAAATGTAGGTCAGAAATTTTCAACACTTTGAAACCTTTGAGTATCAGCCATATGTTCGTGTACCGCACTATAAATAGATAAAATTGTGGGTTGATGGTTGATTGAAGTGAATAATGAAGAGAAAGAAAATTGGGGTGATCAGTCAAAGTAAAAATGGCATAAATAAATAATAGTATTTATTTTAACAATTGCCGGCGTTTTTAAACAAAGGGATATATGTAAGGAGGGAGGATTCAAATGTGGGATCAAATCGAACACGAGAAGGGTGGTAAATAACGATGTAGAGTAGGAAGAAGGTTCTGGAGAAAACTTGGACAAATAGATATTCAATGTGCGGGATGTCAGAAGAAGGAAATTTTAAAAGGATTTTGGCCCTCAAACTATTATGAATGAACAGACTGACACTTCCTCCGGATCACTCTGCTCAATCATGACGATAGAGGGTATAGTTGGGCAAGGAAACTGATGGTGAGAGGATACCAGGTTTCAGCCAAGTTTCGGATACAGCAACAATATGGTAGAAATTGTGGTGAAAATAATCTAGGAATTCATCATGTGCTGGAAGAGATTAGGAGCTAATGTGGCATCAGATTAAGATAATAGTCACTAAGTAATTAAATAAAGGACAAACAGTAGGATGGGACAGAAGTTAAGATTAAAGGAGAGGGTACATTTTTAAACAGTATGTTGTAAAATACAGAAAATAATATAATAGAAAGATAAACATAAATTTTAATTAACCAACGTAAGCGGGAATGACCATAGATGGCGGGGTGGCCGAATGGGCTAATATGTGTGCTGTGCTCGGCAACCTGATATATGAAAAAAAACAGTCGCGAGTTCGCGTCCCGGTGCTGGGGGACTATTTTCAAATCCCTGGCCCGGGAAAACTCTATGTTTGAAAATAATGGTAAAAATCTGGTGCGTTGCGCGCATCACACAACTTTCACTTACCACCCTCTTCTTATAGATGCTATATTTATTTATATTTCATTGTAGGTATTCTTATATGTTTATGTACCAACAAAGGTATTTTTATATATAGCATTTCCAAGTCAATTTCAACTTTTTCCAAGTCAAATTCAACCTTTTCCAAATCAAATTAAACTTTTTCCAAGTCAAATTCAACCTTTTCCATTTCAAATTAAACCTTTTCCATTTCAAATTCAACCTTTTTTTATTTATTTAAACCTGTACCACTACAACCCATAAAGGGTCTGGGGTTCAGTACTATTTAGGGAAAGCACTGTTTCTAGGTCAACGGTTGTGCAAGGAGGTGATTTGACCGAGATCACGCTCAACTGCCAGGTTTTCCCCCTTAATTAATTATTTAATTAAGGGTACCCACTTTATAGAGGCTGGGTGTGCCCCAGGAGGGACTCCTGACCCAAGGTCGCCCCACGGCCAATGAAACAGATAAATAAATTTTCTGCCATGAGCCGGGGTTCGAACTCGGGACCTTTGCATTGGAAGCTCATTTTTTATTTATTTAATTATCTTTAATTTTTCGATGTGTGGGTCTGTTATTGTATGAGTAGTTTTTGAAAATAACCTCCATTTTAAGATTTTTTTAAGACGTTTCGAATTATTTAAGTTTTTTTGATTTATTCGATATAAGGGTGTATTTTTATGTTTACCGATCCGTAAATTTTGAAAATGACATCCATTTTATATTTACACCACTGCGTTTTGCCTTATTTAAGTTTTTAGAATTTATCCAATATAAAGGTCTACTTTTATGTTTCCGGAGCCGTAGATTTTGAAAATGACCTCCATTTTAAGATTAGGCCACCGCGTTTCGACTTATTTGAGTTTTTCGGATTTTTTTCATATGAGGGTGTATTCTTATGTTTCCGGAGCCGTAGATTTTGAAAACGACCTACATTTTAAGATTAGGCCACCGCGTTTCGATTTCTTTAAGTGTTTCGAATTTTTATCATAAAAGAGTGTATTCTTATGTTTCTGGAGCTGTAGATTTTGAAAATGACCTCCATTTTATGATTACTCCGCTGCATTTTGACTTATTTAAGTTTTTCGAATATATCCAATATAAAGTTCTACTTTTATGTTTCTTGAGCCGTAGATTTTGAAAATGACCTCTATTTTATGATTACTCCTCTGCGTGTTATCTTATTTTAGTTTTTCAAATTTATCCAATTTAAAGGTCTACTTTTATGTTTCCAGCGCCATAGATTTTGAAAATTACATCCATTTCATGATTACGCCATTGCATTTTGACTTATTTAAGTTTTTCGAATTTATCCAATTAATAGGTCTACTTTTATGTTTTCGTAACCGTAGATTCTGAAAATGAACTCTATTTAATGATTACGCCACTGCGTTTCAACTTATTTAAGTTTTTCGAATTTATCAAATATAAAGGCCTACTTTTATGTTTCTGCAGCGGTAGATTTCCCCCATTTTGTAAATTACCCCATTTCAAGTTTATGGCACTGTGTTTTGGATTATAAAAGTTTTTTTTTACTCTTTCAGTATAAGGATCTACTTATATGTTATCTGAGACGTATTGAAATTTTTCTAGTCTTTAATATTTAAATTTATCTAATATTTAATCTCCATTTTATGATTAAGCCTCTGCATCTCATTTTATGATTAGGCTTCATTTTGGATTTTTTCAATACAAAGTTTCATCAATATGTTTTCGAGTATGAATAAATAGATAAATAAATATTATAAAGCTAAAGTTAAATTAACCACAGAATACTAACTAAAAAGCCGAAAAGCAACTGTATTCAGATTTTTCAGCTAATTCTTCGAAATCTTATAATTTTGTTACAGGAGACCACAACATTAAAAAAGATAACTAAATCAAATTAAAAATGAGACAATACATATTTTATTTATTTTCATTAGATATATCCGGCATCATAAAAGTAGACCTTTAAATTGGATAAATTAAAAAAACTTGAATAAGTCGCTCTTTTATGATAAAAATTCGAAACACTTAAAGAAATCGAAACGCGGTGGCCTAATCTTAAAATGGAGGTCGTTTTCAAAATCTACGGCTCCGGAAATATAAGAATACACCCTCATATGAAAAAAATGCGAAAAACTCAAAGAAATCGAAACGCGGTGGCATAATCTTAAAATGGAGGTCATTTTCAAAATCTCCGGCTCCGGAATCAAAATAATACACCCTTTTATGAAAAAAATTCAAAACACTTAAAGAAATCGAAACGCGGTGGCCTAATCATAAAATGGAGGTCGTTTTCAAAATCTACGGCTCCGGATACATAAAAGTAGACCTTTATATTGGATAAATTTAAAAAACTTAAATAAGTCAAAACGCTGTCGCCTGATCATAAAATGGAGCTTATTTTCATAATTTACGGCTCGGAAAACATAAGAATACACCCTTGTATCGAATAAATCAAAAAAACTTAAATAAGTCTAAACGCAGTGGCGTACAGGACAGCATAATTCTAGTCCCTAATAAATCCGAATAGGTACAAGAAATCGATATCCGTAAGTGAAAATTCTACTTAGGAGAGAATAATAATAGACTTTCATATTGTAGGGGAGGGGAGGGCCATTATTTTAAACCCCTTAATTAAAAGTATAAAATTTACAAAAAATTAAAACATTAATTTGAAATGAAAACGGTTGAATTTGAATTGGAAAAGGTTTAATTTGAATGGAAATGGTTGAATTTGACTTGGAAAAAGTCAAATTTGATCTGGAAAAGGTTGAATTTGACATAGAAATATTACACTGAAAAAATTTATGTTAAATGTTTTTTTCAAAAGCTATGCCTTCGATAATATAGTAAGGGACCTTCATTTAGAAAAACATCGAAAATTGACAAAAATTCGAAAGTTGAATTTGAAATGGAAAAGGTTGAATTTGACTTGGAAAAGGTTGAATTTGAAATGGAAAAGGCTTAATTTGACTTGGAAAAGGTTGAATTTGATTTGGAAAAGGTTGAAATTGACTTGGAAATGCTATATACAAATTTTAATATTTATACTGCTGTAATCTATACAATTAAATATTAAATAATACTAACAATAGCATTTATGAAAACCACTTATGTATATTTATGTAATATTGTTGGAGTCCGTATTATATTAAGCTCATGTTAAGGATCGTCATACGTTCTACCGTCGACACATTGGACTATACACTAATTTTTACTGGTAAAAGAGCCATAAACCTATATATATATATATATATATATATATAAGCATATCGGCCTTTCATTAAGTTCCTATCTATCAAATTTCAGATGGTGTTGCTTGGAAAATGCTTCTAATTACTGAATATAAGTGCCAATCAATCATCTAGGGTTATATCTATGTATAAATTTTAACCGATACCAATATTCAAAAACCGATATAGTATCGGCTTTTCGTCCTTATTTTATCTGGATTAATAAAGTTTCACTTGGAAAATTCTCCTTATTGCTGAATGATCATGTCTATCAATATTTTAGGAGGTCAACATTTATAGGAATTGTAGCCGATACAAATATACCAAAGACCGATACATCGGCCATTGTATTCATTCTGTGAAGGTGCTTATAATTATACTTGAAATATTCTC